AAATCAACTATAATCAGGTAAAACCAATTGATTCCACACAGGAAAAATACATAATAAAATCCTTAACCCATATGTATATTGCAGACCCAAAATTCCCCCTTGTTGTTATTATTCAAGTTATTCAAGTAAGTTTTAGTTTAATTCCTAAAAATAAGCTAAATAAGTAAAGTAAGTTACGGTGAAATTTTGAACCGTAACACTATCCAACTCACAGAGCCGTATAAAAATTCTATCATCATATAGTATGCGCAGTTCCAGGCTTAGACCTCGGCTGGAGAAGAAGGATTCTAGCAAAAGTACGTCTGGCCTGTTTAATTTGTGATAACATTTCTGTATGGGGTCACAAGCTTCGTTAACTGTGGCTTCTAGATATTTTACAGACTATACTTGTTCTACCACCTCGATTGTTAATTCTGAGGACCCTTTGCAGTGTTTTGAAAAATACAACAATTTTAGTTTTAGGATTTAGGATTTGATCTGCATGCCAAATCGCAAAGTTCAGAACTTAAGACCAAATTGATAGCGATCTTTTCACACTACATGTTCCGATTCTGTAAAAGATATTTTCATCAGTCCATAGTCTAGTACAGTTCCCGCTAAATTTTTGGTCTATTTAGTTAAAAATATTCAGCATTTTAAAAGACCGTACAACTAATCTCTTCGATGAAATCCTTATTGAAGCCGCCACTACACGTTGAAATTTGGAGTGAATCGAAAGACTCAAATATCTCAGATATCGCTGCGTGTAGGGCCCATTCGAGGGGTGTCTCACTTGGGTAAAAAATGTACATGTACTGCCAAAATATCATGTTACTCGCAAGCGACTGCCAATGACTGCGAAGAAGACTGCCTATGACTGCCATGTAATTATTATAGGCGACTGCCGTAAGACTGCCAATGACTGCCAGCGACTTCCAAGAAAATGTACATGTAATTCCAATAGTGAGACACCCCTCGGGCCCATTTTAGATTCTCAATCTATTAAGGCGATGGACTACCATACTTCGTTGATTGTCACACACCTGGTCTGCAATATCTGATGTCATCGTTTCATTCAGAAAATTGTGTTTTTTCAATATCAACTCGAGGGAATAAATAGATGCAGATGCAGATGCAGATGAGAAACTGAGCAACTAAGAACAGTGCTAAAATAATCAAAAAAGCAAACCTCCAAAACCACCAAAGAAGAAGAGGCTAGAATTATTTAGCTACTATTTAGCTAGGATGATATCACTAAGATTCTTTCAACAAAGAAAATGATAATGCCTTGGTAATATTAGGCGGACTCTACACTACTATTCCTAAATAATAAAATTTCTTTATCAAACGAAAAAATCTTACAACTAGTATATTATTCCATAATGTAATCTAACAATTTTCTCTCGGTATAATAATATTATACAGTAATATATCAACAAACACCAACAATCACAATTGAGTTAAATTGAAATTGAATTGGATATACATTCCTTGTTTATTTTAATTAAACGCTCCTGCCTATACCAAGATTGCTACTGTGATTGCTATTTATTTATTCAAATATATACCGATTAATGTTATATTATATATCAAAATAACCTTTCTTTTTCAAAAGGTTCATATTTATATTAAAAGTTTTCAAAAAAAAATAATATAAGTTTCCGGACAGACCAAAACTGATTAATTCAGTAAAACTTATTTTTGGTAAATAGATTTTTTTCCCGAAAGTTTTCACTTTATTCTGAAGGTAATATTAATTTTGACAAATCCTTATGGCAACTTTTAATAAATGTCATATAGAGGTCTGTCTGACAGAAATTATCCACTATTGTCATTCCAATGGACACTATGATGTTGGTTTTATGGATCATTCACTATATTTCATAATTTTCAACTTATTCAACCATTTCCAATTATGGTGTAGCCTCCCCCACATATTTATAAATACTTTCTTTGTAGTTGGACCCATAAGGGCTCTAACTCACTGACGACCAGATCGCAACGACCTGGCCGTCGGCTGGCCGGATGTATTGCGTTTATAGCTGCGGCCAGATGAACGACCAGTTTCAACAGAGTTGTCAGATCTAACGTTTTACCAATTAGAAAATATTGTTTCAGAAAGAATTAAGTTTCAGAAATGTTAAAATATCCGAGTTAACTAAAAAGCGAAATTGCTATTAATGAGCTTATTAAATGATCTAATATTAAATAATGCATTTAAAATATTCTTGGATTTTTCGTTAATAAATATTGGTGTGGTAAATGGAGTAAGTAAAATCTCCAACCCCGATTACACGATAACATCGTTATTTCCATGTTTTTCAAATCTGCGATGCCTAACTTTTATTCTGCTATAACTGCTATTCCATCAGTCGTTTCATAACAGAATATTCTACACCCTACTTCTATGTAATTTAATATGTGTAGAGTGAGACATGTAACTCGTAAGATTTTTAGCATTATATCAATAAAGGACAAAAACAGTATTGTTCCTAAAGGTGCATCCAGACTTGAGCATTTTAGCCCGAACGAACCGAGCGCGCACGAACAAGCAGAACAAATAGGCCGAACAAAAAGCATTGTGTACGCGCGACCGACAAAAAGGGCGATATTCTGTTTCTTTTTTCTACTGATATGGACTTCTACTGATGGCTCTTATCGACTTTAGAAGTAAACATATTAGGGCCATCGTAAAAAAGGTCGTCAGACACTGGCTCTAAATATAAGCAGGTAGAAAGTTTAGCTTCCAGTTATTTCAATGTTTACAATATATATTCCTCTTTTTTATTGTTACTGAGAATCTATAACAGTAAATACTTCTATTTTTATAAATGTTTAAGTTACTTTTTAATTAAAAATAATGTACCTAGTAGAAATATAGTCTAATGGACCCTGTTTGAAAAAAGTTAAATTAAATATAATATTTAAAATACAGTTGTATTCCTTGTACATGACTACACTACAACTAAAAAAATAATTTAATAAAAAAAACAAGTGGTTGTAGAAAAACTTTAAATATGATTTTTTTATTTTTCAACATCGAAACTCGAAGGTATAATAACAGGTATCATACCAACCATAAATAGATTATGTCATATAAAAATGTTTTGAATTTTACTAGAATCGACCCTTGATAAAAAAAGGGACTAGATTTAAGTTTCCCTTTGATCCAGTCTGTATACTACTTCTTTGGATTTTCTGCACGTGTGCAAAAACTACACTAAAACACTATATCTTAGAGAAAATAAAATATTGTGCGTTGAACTTGAGGGATATCATCTGAAAAATTATTAATTTGGAAGAAAACCGGCAACAAGCGGCAGAAAATTATAAAATTTTAGTTCAGTCTACTGGTCGCAACGACCAACGGACGGTCAGGACGTTAGTGTGGGCGGTATCATTTGATTTAATGGTTTTAGACGTAGCAGCGGCCTGGCCGGTGCGACCTGGTCGTCGGTGTGTTCGAGCCCTAATTGTCTATTGTTGGCTATGCGGGCCCAAGTTATCCCTGCTAATTTCCTAATATCATGGTGCCATCACAGTTTTGGTCTTCTTCTAGGTCTCTTGATTCCTCGTGGGTACCATGCTGTAATTTTTGTGGTCTATCTGTTGTCCGTCCTTCTTGCCAGGTGTTCTATCCATTGCCACTTGAGAGATTTGATTCTGTTGATGATATCTATTACCTGGGTATTTTGTCGTATCCACTCTATTCCTTTACGGTCTCTCTTGGTTATTCCCAGCATATTTCGTTCCATTGAGTGTTGTACGACCTGGAGTTTCCTTATAATATCCGTTTTAAGTGTTCAGGTTCCGCATGCATAGTTGATGCATGTGACTGTAATTTATCCTGTGATAAAGAACAACGTCAAGTTGGCTCGGAAATGACCATCACTGACATATGAAACTACAGCCATCTTTGTTTCTAGCCCAACTCTGACGTCGTTTATTTTTACGATGCGTATAGTATACATCAATAATTTAATGTCCATTTATAATAAACACAATGATTATTTTATCAACAGATATCACACTCGCAAATTATTTCTATCGCATGAATCACGGTATTAAATATTGGTATGCACCTATAAAACAAAAGACTAATGGTAATATTTAACACTATCAATTTTATTAGTTATTACAATAGCAATATACAACGGATAAGAATTGATAATTTATTGAAAATGAGGTGTTGTACATCTTATACCATGAGCGTTACATCAGGGCAAACCTGGGCGACGTGCGACGTCGATAATATTACGTCAACAATTGAATTGTTGACACGTTAACTATGGTCTATTGGGTACGAAAAATTATGGTAAACAAAAAACTATGGTCAATTTGGAACACACATTATAGCTATAGTTAAAGTAAAGCACTATATGATGAAAACTTAAAACCATAGAATTAACATTTATTAAAAACCTAGAATAAACGTTCTCTATACGAAGAAGCCAAAGCAAGACTAATGATATATAAAACAACCCCAGAGTTCCCAACTTGTTCCCAACCAAAGGAGAGAGTACGCCAGGGAGACGCAATACCCCCCAAAGCTGTTTAAAGCAACACTAGAAGAAATATTCCGTCAACTAGACTGGACCAACTAAGGATTAAAAATAGATGGAAAATATTTTAACCATCTAAGATTCGCCGGTGAATAGTACTAATTGCCAATAGTCCTGGAGAACTACAAACACAAATTAACAAACTAAATACAGCCAGCAATAAAGGTCTCAAAATGAATTCGGCAAAAACTAAAGTAATGTAAAACGAACTAGTAGACAAAAAATATATATTCTAATAAATAACGCAAAACTGGAAATAGTAGAAGAATACATATATTTAGGACAACTAATACACAGCTCGGGATCTCTCAGGATACAGCAATTTGATAAAATTCTATTAAATATAATAAATAATTTATTTAAACAATACGATGTTTCTTTTCCTCCGTCTCTGGCTCTTAATATTCTAGCAGTCTCACTTTTATAGTCGTTTTGACGACTTGTTTTGGTACTATTGTACTCACCCATGATTGTACGCGTCAGTTTCATCCATGGCGGCTCCAACTCTGTGGACGTATCGTAACCAGATCCTCAGGATCGTTCAGGAATCTCTGGAGGTGTCCTTGATCCTTTGTGGGTCAGAAATGGGCACTTTTACCACAGCTAAGGTAATAGTGATATTTTAACTAAATACGGATATTTAGTTATTTCATAATGATATATGTGTATATTGTAATGTTAACATTTCTTCAGACAATTATTTATATGTATATTTTGAATCTCTTATTTTTATAATTAGCACGTATACTGCTTACTAAAATCATCCATTAAACGCCGTACAGTTTTTTAAAACGCAGACTTTTTATAGAAAAAATATTCTATGTAACATATTTCTAAAGAACACTTGTTTGTGATTAAACAGAACAGAATATTAAAAAAAAACTAAAACCAGAAGTTCATAGTTATTAAAACATGTAAACATATTTATACAGGGTGAGTGAATATTTTCAGGGCTGGTAGATAAAGGACAGGAATAAAAAACATAAGTCCAAAATAATCAAGTTCCAAAAAAATAATTTTTTGCTTAAATTTTGAGATGATTTTCTTTTTTGTAAATTTAATCTACTATCTATGTTGTCATATTATCAAGAAATTATGTTTTTAACTAAAATATAAAAAAATAGTTTTTCTTTAAATTTCAAATTTTTTTTTTCGGCATTTTTTTCGCGAAAAAACTCATAATCGTGTTTTTGAGGTTGAAATATACTACCCCTGAAAATATTTGCACTTATTTTACACTCACCCTGTATAGGCAAATAATGATTTGTATGTATTGCAATCACCACAAATGATAATAACAGGTACGAGGGTGCCATTGCATAAACTAAAAATCACAGAATTTACTAAAAACTAGCCTAACCTAACCCATCATAACCTAACAAAAACAAAAAAAAAAATCGAACTGTATAATAATGAAGATAATAATGACAATTTAGAAATAACATATTCTGAATCTTTTTAATGCACATATTCAGCTATAACTACGCAGTTAAAGACATTTTTCAATAAATATGAATTATAGTTATTTTATGCTATGATATAAATTTTCACTACCTCAGCAATTATTTGACAAAGAATTAGAGTGTGAAATAACCTTTAAGGAATAGAAGAAATAATATTAATATGCATGAGATTCTCCCAATATACATTTTATGCGTTATTGTACCTATATTGATGAATACTACTGTAGACTGTTAATTTATAGTCCGATTTTTTTTTTTAAATTTTAGTATAAAAAACATAATATGGCAAGATAGGTATTAGGTTAAATTTACAAGGAAAAAAAGTAGAAAAGATCTAGTGGTTCTCAAAATTTAAGGGAAAAATATTTTTTTTGAAATTTTGAAATTAAAATATCTCTGTTATTTTGGACTTATTTGAAAAACGGTACAGAGAAAATATGTTTCTTTTAATGAGATCTACCAGCCCTGAAAATATTTACTTATTTAAGATACACCCTGCATAACTATTAATAATTCTAATTTTACAAAAAGGTATTAATACAAAAAAAATAATATTTTAATTCTGCATCTAAAAGAAATGCATTAAAAAACTGAAATGTACCATTTTAAATATTACAATGTTTACCGTGCCATAAAAAACACTCTGTATAACATATTTACAGTTTTTCAACTCTGATTTATTCTGCTAACCTTAGTGTTTCAGAGAAACTAGCTCTAAGTGCTCTAAGTATGTACTATTAAAATTAAATTCACTCCATGTTTTAACCATTTTCAGGATATACTGTTTTTAACAAAAATTTCAGTACAAGAGTAATATTATGGCAACATCGCATAGCGCTTCAAATAAAAATAGTGCTTATTTTTTAGCACACTAATAAATTTTTACTGTAATTTTCAAAAACTCTACTAAATTTCTTTTATATTTTGTTTGTATTTTAGATATTCGACGTGTTCAACCAGCTACTACCAACCGCATTCGTGCTCAACACAGGCTACTGGGCATTCTATAACACCATGAAGAGGCAACCCATATGCGTGTGTGCCAGATATGCCATACCATGTCGTCACTACAAGCAAGACCACCATTGGATCGACATGGAAAGCATTCCAGGGGATAATTCTGCTGTTTTCACATCGAAAAATGGAAACTTGATTGTAACGGTAAGCGTAATACTCAATAACTAAAATATTAATAAAAATTTAATACAGGGTGTAAAAAATAACGTACCAAACCTCCAAGGGTGATACTACACAGAAACATAAAAGAAAAAAACCCATTCATGCCATGAAGTTTGGTACTACTGATATCAAAGATGGAGAACTAACCTAGGGTTGCCAACCGACCTCTATTCCAGAGGACAGTCCTCTTTTTGATCTCGCTTTCCTGTTCACGTATTGAAAAAGTCCTCTTTTTTACATACCAAACTGAAAATGTAAAAAAATAATCGTCTATCGCCACAATGCTTTAAATATTTGTTAACCTGTGTCTTTCCCTACTTCAATTTGTTTGTAAGAAAAGAAAATGAAGAAATATTTATGTACAAGAAATATTTGTGGAAGCGATAAACAACTATTTTACGTTGCACTTACTCTTAGCTTATGTTTGAAAATAAAAAAGTTTTGTTGAAAATGGTTTATTTTATTTTAACAAGTTTGGAGTATAGGTAACTATTTTTAAGAAAGTAAGAAAGACCATCAATCGCATACAGTTAACATACTTTTTTGGTAGTTCTAGACATTTGGACGAGGTTTCAAATAAAGTTTCGCCTGTGCCTCTTTTTTAGGCTGTCGTCCTTTATTTTATATTTTAAAAGTTGGCAACCCTAAACTAACCTCTTAGTGCAGCGAAATCGGGAAGCTAAGTCGCTTAGTTTCCGAGAAAAAAAAAACTGGCGTAGAACCAGGTCTAACATTGTAAGTTTTGTCAAGGATACCACAGGGTACATGAAATTTTTATTTTTAACTTTTTTAATGTACCAAGCAAATGAAGCCAAAACCTCACAAAAGTTTTTGGTAATACTACTTTTTTCCTAATATGTATCATTTGGCATCAGCGATTTTTTTATTAAGCGAGTCGGAGCGCGTATCGCCGACACCGTAGCGTCCGTCCTCGTCGCGCGGTGCCCATAGCGTATAAGCGTATGCAGGATAGACGAGCTGAACTGAGAGTTGCCGTTGTAAAGATTCCCAGATTTTATGTGTTTTCTTTATGAGGTGGTACTAATTATTGGTAATTAAAAATTGACAGAAACACACGTTTGACATGACTTTGAATGTCCCATTTTTTTTTGTTCGCAACAATACATATTTTTCAGTATCCAATTTTTTTTATTTTTTAATACAAGCTGCGATGCTGTAAATGAATAAAATATTCTTTGCAGATTCTTAAGGGTTCTACTAATATTCTACATAATATGTATATACAGGGTCCGGCAATAGTGCGTCTGTAGCCCCTAGAATAGTGCATCTGTAGCCCCTAGAATAAAAAACTTGAGAATTTTGTTTAAGTGCAAATCTAAAGTATGTACCAGGATGTATTTCAGGAAAATATTTTAACTTCTATAGGGTGGCTCAAAAAAGTGTGAGTGGACCTGGATGATTTTTTTTAAATGGAACACCCTGTATATTATTGCATTTTTGGCTTCCTTTCAGATCACTTTACATAACTCTAAGATATGAATAAAGACATTTCGATAGTTTCAGAGATATTAAAAAATAAATCAAAAATATATATTTCTCAGCCCTTCTTATAAAAAAATATTAAATACAAGAACTGTTCTGAAATCAAAACTATACTAAATCAAAACTATTACTTTAGATGGTCTGTACTTACTTTGCTATAAATATGAAAATCTTAAATTATACAGGATGTTCAAAATTCTGCGCCAAACTTTCTAAAATATAAAATAATTTTTCTTCGTTTTTTTTTTTTAAATCGAACACCCTGTATATTATTTTTTCAATAGATGGAGAATTAAAAAATAAACATTTTTTGTGTTTAGAGTATTTCAAAATTTTTAACGGTTTCACAGATATTTGCGGTTTTATATTTCATATGGCATTTTCCACAGTAAATTTTTATCAAAGCCACCCAATGATTTTTCTCTCGTATTTTACCATTGAAAGCGCCATATGAAATAATACTGCGTGTATCTGCGAAACCGTTAAAAATTTTGAAATACTCTAAATACAAAAAATGTTCATCTTTAAACTCTCCATTTAATAAAAAAATAATATACAGGCTGTTCCATTTAAAAAAACAAAGAAAAATTATTTTATATTTTAGAAAGTTTGGCGTTGAATATTGAACGTCCTGTATGATTTACGATTACCATATTTATAGCAAAGTAAGAACAGACCATCTAAAGTAAATACCTCATATAGTTTTGATTTCAGAACAGTTCTTGTGTTTTTAATATTTTTTTAAGAAGGGCTGAAAAATATATATTTTTGATTTATTTTTTAATATCTCTGAAACTATCGAAATATATTTATTCATATCTTAGGGTTATGTAAAGTGATCTGAAAGGAAGCCAAAAATACAATAATATACAGGGTGTTTCATTTAAATAAAAATCATCCAGGTCCACTCACACTTTTTTGAGCCACCTTATAGAAGTTAAAATATTTTCCTGAAATACATCCTGGTACATACTTTAGGTTTGCACTTAACAAAATTCTCAAGTTTTTTATTCTAGGAGTTACAGATGCCCGACGCACCATTGCCGGACCCTGTACATTGGTACTCATATTATACTAATAGGTACTATATTACATTTTTTCTCATAAACTAAGTACTTATTTAATACGTTATTAAGCATTTATAAGTTTTGCACCATTAAAAATTGTCTAATTCGTCATTTTCTTCTGTATCTCCCTCGAAATCTTTAATTATGTTATTACAAGAACGACATTTACACATATTGCAACACTTTAAGCCTTCTTTAATACACACTTTCGATTTGTCACAGTTTTTATCTGAACAATAAATGCTTAATGATTTGTGAACAATATCGGGAATCGGCGTGTCATTGGTAAATATGGGAGACAAAACCTCTTTAGTTAAATTCCATCCTGAATTCTCTGCATTTATAAGATGTCTTGGTATATTGCTCTTGTACTATATTTTAAGTTAATACATACACCTGAAATAGTTTATTAAGGTCATATTAAAATTATAGAAAATGTAAATACCTTAAGAAATGCTGGTAAAGAGCACCTTCAGTTGGAGGAAGCTCCGAACACGGTTTATTTGTTGTCGCCAGTTTTATTCTTAGGTCATTTAATTTTTAAATTTCATTGTCTTTGTTTTTGTAAAGTAAAACAACCAATTTTATAACGACTTCAAAAGCTTCGTCATTTGACAGCTGTGGCAACTCAGACAGTTTTTGAAGAATGATAATATTTTTTAGTTGAAATTTGAAATGCAGACTTCTTGCCTATTTAAAAATAAAACCACTTGTGGTGTCACAACCAGTAAAGCAATGGAGTGTCAGAGAAGGCAAGAGCAAACTTTAGTTCCCAAACTTTGAACCACTTTTTTTATTGAAATAAATCTTCTATTAGAGCCGTGTCCAAGTTGTATAAAAACATCAATTCCTCTTAAGTTCGAATAGAAAAAGTGTATAAGTAAAATTAATATAATATTTATATCAACTGATTTTACTAAAATTTGTTTACTAAACTTACTTTCGTATATTGCATGCAAACTTATCCTAGTGTCTGCCTCTTCCTGGGTGCTATATAAATCTCCAAGAATTTTCGAATGATGTTTATGTAGTGATACTACTTTTTCTGATAATTTAAATCCTCCAACTACTATTAATATTTCGTTTTCGTTTAAGAATTGTGCCGCATTTAATGTCAAATATTCTGTCAAAAAAATTAAAAAAGACTCTTTGTTTTTAGACGATTTTTAAAAACATCGATATTTTTGAATTTTTCGGCTACCAATAACATTGAAATGGAGTATATTACTATCTCTTGAACGTTCACCAGATTTTCTTAAATTGTATTAAAGAAGGCTTAAAGTGTTGCAATATGTGTAAATGTCGTTTTTTTAATAACATTATTAAAGACTTCGAGGGCGACACAGAAGAGAATAATGAATTAGACAATTTTTAATGATGCACAACTTATAAATGCTTAATAACGTATTAAATAAGTACTTAGTTTATAAGAAAAAATGTAATAGTAAGTATAATATTAGTACCTATATACATATTATGTCGAATATTAGTAGAACCCTTGAGAAACTGCAAAGAATATTATTTTATTCGTTTACTATATACGCATCGCAGTTTGTATTAAAAAATAAAAAATCGGATACTGGAAAATACGTATTGTTGCGAGCAAAAAAAACTTGGACATTCAAAGTCATGTCAAATGTGTGTTTCTGTCAATTTTTAATTGCCAATAATTAGTACCACTTCATAAAGAAAATACATAAAATCTGGGAATCTTAAACAACGGCAATTAAATAGTTCAGTTCGTCTATCCTGCATACGCTGCTATGGGCACCGCGCGACGACGACGCTACGGCCGGCGCGCGGCGATACGTTACGCTCCGACTCGCTTAATAAAAAAATCGCTGATGCCAAACGATACATATTAGGAAAAAAGTAATATTACCAAAAACTTTTGTAATGTTTTGGCTTCATTTGCTTCGCTGGATGTACATAAAAAAAGTTAAAAATAAAAAAATTTCTTGATTGGTGAAAATTGTAATACATAAAATTATTTTTTTTGGTTTTTCTGATGTTTTTACTTTAATTTAAAAACAAGAACAGACCGATATCACTTTTATTTCCCGAGATATGACAGAGGAGACGTTGAGAAACATGATTCGCAAATAAATCAATTTTTTTCAGTTTTTTGAAGATAAAAAATGCCTCGACCACGAAAAAATGTCGCAAAACTCGATTTCATATACCCTGTGATATCCTTGACAAAACTTACCATGTTAGACCTGGTTCTACGCCAATAAAAAAAAAACGGCACGATAGGGCTTCGAAATCGCTGCACTATTTGTAAAACCATCTCAGATACTGGCTTTTGTCGCAACCTAAGGTCGCAACCTGGGGACTCTGTGTCTATATTTTCATTCTATTCCACTACTCTCTACTACTCTACTCATTCTACATTCTACATTCTACATTCTACATTCTACATTCTACATTCTACATGCTACATTCTACTTTCTACTTTCTACATTCTACATTTACATTCAACATTCAACATTCTACATTCTACATTCTACATTCTACATTCTACATTCTACATTCTACATTCTACATTCTATATTCTACATTCTACATCCTACATTCTACATCCTACATTCTACGTTCTACCTATCCAAAATTTCCTTACATCTTATGATTTCGCTAAGACTAAGCCGACGTGTTTTAACATTGTTAAATGCAAATATCATAAAAACAGTTAATAGTTTCGAACTAAACGAAGAGCACCTTTCCTACGTAAAAAAGTGCTGTCTTTTATGGCATATGTTGCAATTACTCTATCCATTAAACTCAAAAAGATTTGCGAGAAACTACCTTTTACCTTAATGGAAACTACCCTTTCAGAATTATTGCGTATTTTTACATCATCGCCATTCACTTGGCATCAAAGTTTGTGAAAGAATATTTAATTTCAATGAAAATAGTTTACTAGTGTTTTTAAAAATAAACTTTTCGAGGGTTGTAACTTCCTTAAACAGATCTTTTTTACCTATATCACCTGCTGAAGGGTTTGGTACAGTATTTTCTCACACACCCTCTATATTATTAATTTAATATTACAGAAATCTGAGATCGAAGTAACCCCGGTTACCTGGCAAACTGCTGGCTACATTCTGGCAATTAGATTAACATTTCAATACAAGAAAATTGAGAAGGGCCGCTTGAGGAAGAGAAAAAATGAAAATTTGGTTAATGCATCAGCTCAGGATATCTCCATAGCCATTTATTGCAGGTATGAGAGCAATTTTATAATATATGTCTTCTCTTTTTTGCTTTATACATGGTGATTCTTAAATAAGAACAAATATTTTTAGGGGTAGTATATCTCGATCCTAGAAACACGTTTATGAGTTTTTTTTCCGCAATTTTTTTTAATTTGGATTTTTTTGATTTTTTTTTATTTTTAGTTAAAAAAGATAATATCGTCATAATATTGCATCATAAGTAGTAGATTAAATTTACAAGTAAGAGAACCCTTTAAACCAACTTTAAAAAATTCTTTAACACAGTATTGCCAACTATGTAATTTGTGGTCACTCCGTTGCTTTTGATTTTACTTAATCGGCGTTGGTTTCAACAAAACTGTGCAATTCCTGATTTTTAGATTATTCCTCAGTTTTGAAGCTTATTTTCTCAAAAAATTTCACTCTTTTCGACCTGTTTTTTTTCTTTTCAGATACAACGTCTATAAAGAAGCCTACCCAGCCCCCGCATCAGTAGTCTTCCAGCCAAACCCATTCTTCTACGACACCTACGGCTCCCAATTTCCAGAACTACTCCAATACCTCCCCAGCGACATGAACCCCAAATCCTTCTGTGTACCCCTGGAACACACCCCAAACTTCTCCCTTATCCTCTGCCACGTCAACCTACCCTTACACCTTCCAACTACCACACTATCTCTTGTCCAATCCCGTCCAGATGTCAGATTGAGAAAGATCATGTGCCACAAAGGTACCCAAACCGAAGACAGCAGCTCGCTTGAGATCTGGAAGTGCCAGGAGATCATAGCTGGGCTGAAACCTCTTTGGAATGATCTGGATATTGAGGAGGCTTCAGGAAAAGGAAATGGAATAGAGCAGTATACGTTTCCGGCTTTGAATGACCAGGAAGTTAGTACTACGACCAGTATTAATGAAGATATAGCCCAGAAAGTTCAAGAAAAAGAGTATGAATCTCACTGGCCGCAGTATCAGTCTCAAAAAACTATTACAAAGAGACGCAGGAAGAAGAAGCCTACACCGAGTTTGGTGCCGATAAATACTAACCGTCCTATTCACCATAGAGTAAAAAATGAACATGCTCCTAACCTGAGCTATGCAACGGTTGTTAAAGCTTCTTCGAGAGCGCTCAAGACTAAAGAAGAATCTATTGATATAGCTTGTTGGATTAAGAAAGAACCAATGAATTTTTGGACCGAAGAACAGATCAGCGAGCATTTTGATTTGGCACAGGAACTAATCGACGATGATCTGGCAACTCAGCAAATGAAGTGCTGGTGGGACGCATAAAATTATTATTTTTATACAGGGTTTTCTCAATTTGGTTTAATACTAATATCTGTAAGAAGCAATTCTTACAAGATTCTACAGTATACAGGGTGGTCCAAACTGTATTTCGGAAATTTCGGCAGCATATTCTGCAGGTAAAAATGTTCGTACAAATGTATCTCCTAAAATGCTTAGTTTCGGAGATACAGGGTGTAGAAGTTTTATGTATATTTCAATTGTTTACAAATAATTACTGAAATAACGTCAATATTTGGATAAGAATTGTTGTCTGGGAGTTTTTTGATACGATAAATTTGATTTTGATGTCAATACGACTCCTATTTGTAGGGGGGCCACCTACATGAGTATTAGTTGTTTTGAAGAGTAATAACTTCTTATCCATACCTGTATAAAACTACTGAGTGAAAAAATATACATTTCCGTGATTTTTTTACGTAAAAAATGTCTCTTGGTAAAAATCGCTACGAGCAACCGTTCTCAAGATATAGGAAATAATCAATGCATGTCATTATTGACGAAAAATAAACATATTGTGAAGATAGGTGGATAGGTAGTTATTTAACTGAAATGATAAATTTGGTAACTTTTTATTTTTTTTTTTAATTAATCATAAATTTTTGGTGATAAAACAGTTTTTGTTGAACTCCCAGACACTAATTTTCATCCAAATATTGACGTTACTTCAGAAATTATGTACATATTTGGAAAAAATCGAAATTAAAATTAAAACTTCTACACCCTGTATCTCCGAAACTAAGCATTTTAGGACATACATTTATACGAACGTTTTTACTTATTTTTATCTGAAGAATATGCTGCCGAAGTTTCCGGAATACAGTTCGGACCACCCTGTATAAAAACCATTTGTTATGTTTTAACAGCAGGATTACGGGACGTCGGCGTCGCGTCGTTGCAGCCACCCTAATAATACTAAATCTACTTATTACTTTTTTGTCGAATTAATCCTATAGAACAATAATATAAAATATAAAAGTTAATTTTATCCCACAATTCTCAACAATATCAAAGTATTCTCGGCTGTTTTACTATTAAAATTAAGTATTTTGATTCTGTTATATCTTAATATTACACTCCTATATTATTACATTATTCATATATTCGTATTATAATATAATGTATTTCTCTTGTATTACATTTATTCACATGCTTTTATAGGGTTATTCTACATATTTACTACCTCAATATTTTATACTTTATATACTTTATATCAATTAAATTGTAGCTTTATTTTATTTTTCTTTAAAAGTGCCCTTAAACCTTTATATTCCTTTTTTATGACGTTACTTTATGAATAGTAAAGGAAATCATAAAAAGATACAACGCCGACGTATTTTAAAAAGGGTTTAAATAAAATAAAATGTTAACTGTTTTGCATTTTTTATGCTTCGAAAATAGGTTTTATTGTTGTTTTTACCACATGTAATAATTATAAGTTTACGTACTCTTTATAACATAATTGGTCATCTAATTATTTTCTTTTTTCTTAACCCTAAATTGGTTCACTCCAAATTACTTTTAGAGATACTATCGTCACGTCAATCCATATACGTATAATATAGTATATAATATAGATATAACCAGTGACGAGACCTCTTTAAGGGCACATGTACAGGGTGGGTCAAATTGGACGTTAAAGGGAAACACCCTTTTCTATAGGAAGACGAAAACTAATATCGGTCCTTGGAGCTCATTTTTTATTAAAAACATAATGGTGAAAACCGCACATCGATATCTGTTACCGTTTCGGAGTTACGGGGTGTTTTTCAAAAATTACCATTTTTAACAAATCGCTGGATCTTTTTTTCTATGGAAAATTTTGTATTTTTATGAAAACATTTCGAAAGCATCTTTTTACGTAGAATTTAATGGTTTGGTTTTGGTATAGTGATGGGCAAAACTGTTATTTTTAGATAACAGTTGAAACTGTTATAGTTATTTATAAAAAACAGCTTAAAATAACAGCTTAAAAATAACAGGTTTCTTTATTTTATTGCTAAATATCTGAAAGAGTATGAAGCGGTCGCCGCCAGGCGTATTAACGCAGTTGCAAGTTGCTACAATGACATGCTCGGTGGTAGTATTTCCAGGGTGTCTAAAAATTTCTAAATATCGATTGTTATCTAAAATACCTCTCTAAAAACGGTCGTTGTTTACAAATAAGCGCTGTTTACAAATTGCGATATAAAAAAGCCAAAATTCCGCCACTCGTCTATACGTATACATTCCGATCTACCTACGCCTTGCCCCTCGATCGGCGTAGATCCTGAATTGCGTAGCAGTGTACAGGGTGCATCTCACTCGACGGGCAAGAAGCTCTTAGTTATAATTTTACCATTTGTGGTCAAAAAATAGCAATATAAGAAAATGTGTAGTATATTCTTCATAAGTAAACCAACTATACACTAGAGTTCGAATTAATTTTACACTTAAACTAGCGTGTACCCGCGACTTCGTTCGCGTCGAATTAATAATTTGTAATGGTGATGATAAAGCAAAGCAAGAATTTCTATTGACATACAAACTGGATAAAATTTTCTCACATTTGCCAAAAATAAGCTTTAAACGTCGAGCAGTTTAAGCAGAATCGTGGTTAATCAATTACTCAACTTTTTGGAACACCCTGTATTATTTTTTAAAAAATTTCAAAATATGTAAAAAAACAAAATAAATTATGCGTGTCCAAGCGTTTTCCCGAAAGACTAACCGTTTTTTAAATAACAAATATTGTAATATTTGAGGGGCGTTTTCACCCTCTTGGAATTTAAGATTCGAGAAACCCCTCCTTATCGAACCTCAACCCCACAGTCAATCCGTTTGCCAAAAATCAGCTTTAAACGTCAAGCAGTTTAAGCAGAATCGTGATTACTCAATGGTCACATTTTATGAAACACCCTGTATATATTTTTAAAAAATCTTAAAATATGTAAAACAACGAAATAAAATATACGTGTTTAAGAGTTTTTCCGGAAAACTCACCGGTTTTTAAATAAAAAATATTCTAATATTTGAGGGTGGTTTCACCCCCTTTGAATTCGAGTTTCGAAAAATCCCTTCTTATCGAACCTCTACACCCTAAAGTCAATCCGTTTTCCAAAAATCAGCTTTTTACGTCAAGGGCTTTAAGCAGGATCGTGATTAATCAATGACCAGATTTTTCAAAACACCCTGTATACATTTTTAAAAAATCTTAAAATATTATTCTGAAAATTTTTCAGAATAAATAAATACCTAAATATTGAAACTTAATAACGTACTGAAACATACAGCGCCATAATATCTCGACCTCCGCCCGTTATGCTCGTAACAGGTTGAAAAACAATATATCTAAAACAACTGATGCGTTATTCTCCAACCTGTTTCGAACTTCCATCGACAATCGACCGATGCAGCAGCCTTCCTTTCCCACTCCTGTTATCTCGACCGCCAGGCGTTATGCCCGCAACTGTTTCAAAAAACCTGCTTCTTTTATATCCTATTATTTTTAAGCTGTTATAAGCGCAATACGACCGTCGACGGGATCGACCGAAGCAGCTACGTTCGCCGTAGCGCATTCCCCACTCCGTTGTCCGTTGTCTCGCCGCCTGTATCGATGGTTGACGAATAACAGGTTTTCCATCCGTACTAGTTGTTTTTGGAATTGCTTCGAGCAGCATAGAATTTCGGGGCGGTGCAGAGCGCCGACTTCGTTTTTCGTTTCACGAGCGGCCGATCTCTACGTGTCGTTATTTTATATCTGTTATTTTTTAGAAGTAGTAACGGTTGCGTTATGTTATTTCTAAATAATTGTTATAAAATAACAGATAGTTAAATAACAACCCATCACTAGTTTGGTATAATAAGGTAAAGTATAGTTTTTCTAAAATTAATAATTTTAAAATTATCAACAGAAAATTTGATATTTTATATGAGTTAAAAATCACCTTTTCAAAAATATAGCATACTTGATATTTTGCTCGATTCCTCTTCGAGATTTAGATTGTTTTAAAATATGCCCGCTTTGGATAAGTATAGGCTTTAACGGCGCCGGCTGTAATGCAAAAATATTCTAGCTGTGAGCAGCAATTAAAATGAAAATAATATTTGCAATGAGAAATGCAGAATTTTTACTATATTTTTACATTTACACACAGTTTACAATTTTACACAGTTTAAACTATATTTAACAACATCAACACATTTAAACTATATCAACAATAATAAGAATTAATAGCAAACCAAGACATGAGATTTTGCTACAGATGTTCGACATTACGACCGTCTTCTGTTATGGACAGACGGGACCGTTATTGAACATTTTTTCGCGGAATTCATTAACTCAGTAGGAGTGAAAGATAACCTCACATAACCGCTAAGTACTTCTATATATTGTCTAAATTATACGGGCAATTTAAAAATTAGAACCGTTATTCTTCCGCAAAGATAAAAATCCATAGGCACTAAGTGCGACGGCCTCGATGGCCAACGCCTGGAATCTTGCTTAGCTATTCAATTATTCACGAAACTGGCTACAAACATTTTCTGATAATTTCAGGGTTTTGAGACGGCGCCTCTTTTTGCTGGAAAAACATGTTTTCGAGTTCTATTAGGGGCAGATCATCAATAAGGGGTCCAAAGCCTACTAGTTAAAAATGGTAAACTTTTAAAAATTCTGTATTGCGAAGGAGACTGTAACAAAATATCAAGTGTGTTATATTTTTGGAAAGGTAATTTTAAGTTCTTTTCGTTTAATTAAAAACATACAAGGTGCAACTATTCTGATGATAACTCTTAAATTATTAATTTTCAAAACATTATACTTAAACCATTAAATTCTACGTAAAAATGTGCTTTTTTTCTAAAATTGTGCATCTCAAAGTATTTACCCCAAGCCACTGTATACCACGGAAAAAAAGTTAAACATTTCATGCACGTTAAAAATTATCAACACGCTATACATGTTTACTGAAAAATTAATATGACCTGAAAAATGAAGAATAATGGGGCCGTCAAAGTTTCTTGACCCATTCAATACCCCGCCTCACTCGCCGTTAATGCACTAAAACAATTCTAGTGTATTGATATCCTAATGGTAAGTAGGGATGGAAAAAAGAATAAATCTATCGGTATGAATAACTTCAATT